TCTCTCTCTCTCTCTCTCTCTCTCTCTCTCTCCTTATTACAAGAAAGTTCAAAATCCATGGTTGCTTGTTATGGATGCCACGGCAGATGGTAGTGCTCGTATCGTTGATGATGTGGCAGGGGGATGAACACAACCCTGGTGGGGTAGTTCGAATCGCCGGCACTTGTTCTCTTAACCCAACTTTCACAAGTGGGGGATGAAGGTCCCATTTGCACAGACTTTAAGAGATACGAGTCCATTGATTATAAAGATCGGAACCCAAGTGGGACCGGGCCCATGGGGGACCTGGTCCCCGTAGTATCTCTCAATCTCCACCGTACAAGTGGGGCCTGGCGCCCCACATGGGCGAATTGATCTTCAACTGTCCTAACGCTAATAAAGTTGAAAAACCATCTCAAGGTTAAACCACCACTAACCATCTCAAGGTTAAACCACCACTAACCTCTCAAATTTTCAATAATAATAAAATCAAAATATTCAAAACTCAGAAACTGGTGCATCGCCAGCAAGGAACGATGAGGTTTAATCAGCCCCCTCCAACAAGCAAAAAAAAAAAAAAAAAAAAAAAAAAAGGTTTCGTTAGAGAGCACTGTACAACTTGCTTACAACATGCACACATGCAGCGCACAGCGCTCGCCACACTGCGCTGCACCATACTTGTGTGCCCGTGGCACACACACACACACACACAAAAAAAAAAAAAAAAAAAAACTCTAAAAACTCTACCTCCTCTGTTCTCTTCACCTTCTGCAAATTCTGGTTAATTAAAAAAAAAAAAAGTTAAAAAAACTTAACAAAAGTGTTGCCCACCACTGCGTCCTCGACTTTGCTCCAGTTCCTACTGCCTCATTTTGCGCAAGTTTTGCTTCATTTACCTCCGCTGCCTGCGTGCTCAGAATTTAGAAAGGGGTACCCCCCCTATATGTTTCTTAATTCTAAGCACGCAGGCAGCAGGGGTAAAGGTGGCCCCTTTTTGCCTGTGCTGTTACTCGGGCAGCCCGGGCTGGCTCTGCCTGGCTGGGTACCGACCGAGGCAGGCCAGGCCCCAAAGGGATGAGGAAGAGTCCCGACCCGTCTCAGTGCAAAATATTAAAAAGAAAAAGGTGGGGAAAAAAAAGAATCAAGCGGAAAGAAATGTTATGTGAAAAATGGCATTCCGAACAACTCTTGGCTGAAGGTTCACCTTACCCTATAGTAGAGTCTATAGCAGACTCTATACCCCCCAAGCCTATAGGGGCTATAGAGTCCTACTAAACCGTATGGAGTCTATAGGGCTATGGGACTCTATACCCAACCCCCTGTCTCTTATACACATCTAGATGTGTATAAGAGACAGGTGTACTACAGCCTATGGTAGACTCTAGACTCTATACCCCCCAAACGCACGAATCCCCCTCACTGAAATCCCTTACCCTATAAGAGTCTATAGTAGACTGACTCTATACCCGCAAACCCCGCAAACCCCTCAAACCCCTCAAACCCTCCTGGATAACCCATCTCTGGACTGGAAGATCAGACCAGATTCTGAGTGCTCAACCTGGTGTGCAATCCTCGCCTGAAATCAGGATTTCGGTTGGGTTTTTTTTTTTTTTTTTTTTTTTTTTTTTTTTTTTTTTTTTTGAATTCTTCGAATCTCTTCCATCTTTTTTGACCTGCAAGGTTTTCCCGGGCGGTGGGCGGATTGTTCCCATGGCTGGCTCGGGACCTTCTTCATCGAAACCAGCGAACCAGCAAAAGCTGGTTCGAACTAGAGTTCGCCTTTTGCACAAATTTTACTCCATTGTCTGTTTCTCCCTTCTTGATTGTGCTACACTTGCTGCTGCTGCAGTCACTTCGTGCTTGATTGTGTGCACCACTTATTTTCCCCTCCCTCGCCCCCTCTCTTTTTTTCCTTTCTTTCCTTTTTTTTTTTTTTTTTTTTGGACCGTTGCTCAATTTATGTGTGTCATCCTTGATTGCCCCGGGGCCATACCTAATCAATCTCCTCTGTCTTCTTCTAAACAACTTGTTTAACGGATTTCCGCGAGGACGTGTGCTCCACTTTCGTAGCGTTTAGTAAAAAAAGTAGTTGGAAAGAAAACCATAACTGGAGCTTGGTTTTAATTTTGAAGAGCAAACAAACAGTATTCGTACTGAGTTTTGCTTTTTTTTTTTTTTTTTTTAACACCTGCAGGGATTGTTCAACTCTATTGCTTATGGATTAAACTCCACAGTTCGGAGAACGCTACGAGAGAGGATCCTAGAGTAAGTGGGCAAGGCAACTCTTCCCTCATGTTTTTTTTTTTGTTTTTTTTTTCAAGATTCTCTTGGATTTTTTTGTTTACCTTATCTAAAACTTATCTTATCTTTCTTTGTTTTCTGATCCGCGCCCTCCTCTTACACCACCCCCCCCCCCCTGCTCTTTAATGTTTTTTGTGCCACTGTGTCCCTTTTTTGAAAGGTGTTGTGAAAAGCAAGATGTTTTTTTGTGAAACAAAAACAAAAAGACAAGCAGTGGATGAAAACAGGGATTGAATGCAACAGGGTGTTGTTTGGAAACACCATTGTGAATTATTTTGGGCGACAAATGGCACTAATAAAATTATAATACTATAATAAATTATTAATGAATAGTATTTTCAATAAATCAAGCAACGGTTATTTGTATAATATTTATATATACAGACTGGGAAATGAATCAAATGATGGGATTTCAACTTTCAGTTCAAGAATCAAAATACTCCAAATTATTTGCACCTAGAATTGCACGAATTGAAAACAGCATGGCAGCGGCGGACAAGTCCAGACACCAGAAACCGGATTTCCCAGTTTCATCCGAAAATCCAGATTTCTGGTAAATTTCCGGATCAGCCTGTTCATATCCCTGTCGGGATGGATGTAAATGTCCGGAATTAAAATAAAATTAAAATTTTTAAAAAAACTAAAAAAATAAATAAAAAAGGAAGAAGAAAAAGAAGTGAGTAAAGAGAGTATGTGCGCACTGCGCACATACAAAGTGCTATACAAAATATTACAAAGTTAAAACAAACAGATTGAAAACAACGAAAAGGTTTCTTTGAGAGAGAGAGAGAGAGAGAGAGAGAGAGAGAGAGAGAGAGAGAATCTTTTTCCACTTCCCTACTTCCCACGCATGGCCTTGTGGAGGACGACGAGTAGGTGGAAGAGGACGAAGACGTTGAGGACCGAGCCAATGATAATGACAGGGAATATGAGGAGAGTTTCGAGGAAGAAGATGACAAAGATCCCAAAAGAAAAAGACAAAGAAAAAAAAAAAAAACGGGAAAAGGGTGCCACAGTGCCACTTGAACGGGCAGGAGATCCCAAAAGAAAAAGACAAAGAAAAAAAAAAAAACCGGGAAAAGGGTGCCACAGTGCCACTTGAACGGGCAGGAGATCCCAAAAGAAAAAGACAAAGAAAAAAAAAAAAAACGGGAAAAGGGTGCCACAGTGCCACTTGAACGGGCAGGGGCGGAGGGGGGGAGGTTATAGCAAAGTGCACGACGAGGACCAAGACATGAAGGAGGAGGATCAGGAGGAG